TACAATAAAAGCTTGCTATTACCTGAGCTATTCAGGACATTTTTCATGCTTGAATAACATGATGCTTTGGCTTGGCAATGATACTTACCTTTTATTCTTTCTCTTGCATTCCCTTATTTTTTTTCTTTTTTTTTTTTTATTTTCTTTCAAGTTACCTTTTTTTTTTTTTTTTTTAATCTAAAAGGACAAGGGTAAAGAGAAGATGTTTTTTCTTTTTATCTCTTTTCCCCTTCCAAATAGTGCTCTAATTGTTTGGCTAGAAAATAAAAACATGTGTTTGTTGTTACTGATGTAGGTTTTCAAATTCTATTATGCCATTCCAGTGCATAAAAACCAAATCTCGACATTCTTGACTAAATATTGGCAGTACTGTCTGTATGCAGATGCTGAAAGGAGATCTGGAACAGATTATCAACTAACTTTTAGAAATAAATAGAGCATGCACCATTAATATTTCACGTAAAAGTGAATGTTTATATCTTGAACAACAGAAAAACTTCTCTAGATACAGAAATCAAAGTGAGAGAATGTCCTGCTTCCTTTACTCATTAGGACTACTAATTGACTACATGCACTAAAACAGTCTTAAATTCTGCCATACTTTCTTGCTGAAGAACAGCAGTAACAGTGAACCCCTTTTTCTGAAGTGCAGCAGGATTTCCTTTTTTGTACAGGTATAAAAGCAACATCCCATTCGCTTGTAAAGAGGAGAGGGGATACTAACTTTATTGCATGCCATTTGTGTGCAACTACTTGATTAGCAAACTGAGCTCCCAACGTATTTTTGCTCTCTCTGAGCTGTAGGTCATTAGGCTGGTGCCCTCAAAGCAGTGGATTTCAGGGAATTTAATGTAAAAGAGCTATGATGTCTAATAGCTAATTTAGGCTATTGATAGGCTTCATTATGTGTGCTTCAGTAATGTTTTAAGTTGCTCTTTTTTGCCTTAAAAACATTCCAGTGAAGCACTACTTTTTGATTTAGCACTGGACTTGGGCTCTTTTGTTCTGCCTTCAGTCCATTAAAAGTTACTTATTGCTGCCTCATTCAATGTAATGCAGTTTTTTTACTAGAGAATATCCATTCCTAGACTATTTGGGAAGTTTGACTGCTTCACCAAATTTAATTTTGCACTCTTGATTTATATATATCCTGTAGATTAATATTAGCATCAGCTGAAACAGTCATATTGGTAAAGCTTTGTCTACTGTTTGCAAATGATTAAATGGTATGTGATGCAATATGGAGTGAAGTTTGGAGGCCTATTTCAAGCTTCAGTGAAGTTGAAACAGAGGGGTTTGTGCAGCAAGTGTTTCAGTATTTGAGCTTGACTTCTGTCCTTTTACTTTTTCTTTTTTTTTTTTTTTAAATCCCTGCAAAATGAATTAGTGAAGCACTAGATGGGTCATGAAGAGAAACCTTAATGTCCCCAAAACTAACTGGATTTATTGCTGGTTATAGAAAGGTAACTACCAGGCTTTCTTGCTCAAGTTTCAGGGTTGTTGTGCTATTTGTTATAGCTTCATCAACTCAACACAAATTTTAGCTTATTTTTGTCTTGCAATATGAATGTGTTAGAACTCAGTGCAAATTGTTGCGTATTTTTTGGTGTGTTGCATTTGCTGAACAATAAATAAAAATTGAGGGAATTTTAAAGATTGACATGAAATGTTTGAGAAACAGCAAATACAGACAAAAATGTTACAGTAACTTTAAAGAAAATGTAAGCCCTTTATATTCTGAATATTATAATTGCACATTTAGATATTCAGTAAGTTTAAACTCTGTTAGGTTTGCATGTTTAATTATTCCACATTCTTAAGTTTATTCTGGGTGTAGCTTTTCTATCCTTCAAAACACTTTCTGAAAAGACTATAACGTTAATGACATACACTGAATGACTTGGTGAGCTAAAGCATAAACTTGAAGCACACAAAGCCCTGTAAATGTCTATGTATATTGTCTTACTTTAAGGTAAATGTTTTAAGTACAGAGTAGATTAACACTTAAATACTAGAATTGCCGAGAGTCAGGTTGGCTAGTTCTCCCTGTTAAATCCACCGTTCTTTCTCAGTCTGTTATCTGGCATAGATAAATTGCAGTTTGGGAGTGATGAACAACTGGGAAAATTTGGTCTCTAGCTCTTGAAGGAAATGCTGAATTTTAAAGTAAGAATGTATATGTACAGTCTTATCGAGTCAGAAAGAACTGTTTCTGTAGACTTCTGTGATGATTTCCCCCCCCCTCCCCCCCCCAAAAGTCTAGGTGTGTTCATCTGACCAACTGTGATTATCACAAAGAGGTACTTGAATTTGATCTCAGAGATTAAAAACCTAGAGTCTATTAGTTTAGCTTATATGCATGACAACAGTGTTGATGAAAGTGGCATAAATTATGACTGAATTTTGTGAATGAAGGCCTCTGTGAAAGTGTGTTTCTGGGAACATATTCTTTCTTTCTGTCTAAAACAGATTTTGTGTTGGAGGAAAAATATTTCTATAAGGGTCAAACCCAAACACTAGGATTTTAACATTCTTTTGCTAAGAAGAAAAGTAGACTTGTATAATACAAACTTTTTAAATCAGGAGTGGCATTAAGTCTCTTAATTGACAAATCATTCCTGTTATTTGTATATATAATATTTCTTTTGTGACAGTGTTGCTTGCTGCTTCTTTTTCCTGATGTTTGTATTGCACCACCTGTTCAACTAAAAATAATTTTATTTCACCTGTGCCATTGTAATAGAATTATTAGCCAAAAATCCTAATACATTGTAATTATCTCCTCTGTGCTGTGCTTTTCAACAGATCTTGTATAATCCAATTGACTTTCAAGTGGAAGTGAGGGCAGGACTTTTTTGCAGTCTATAGGATTTGTGACAAATTGTCTAGAAATATGAAGCTTGACTGTGAAGTTCTAAACTGATGTGAAGCTAACAAGTGCAAACTGAGGAAGTTTGACCTGTAACAGTAAATTCCATTAAATATGGATATCACAGTATACTCTTATATATACAACTTATATTAGACAGTATGTTTTAACAGATGTGGAGTTAGACATTGGTATTCAACAAAGAAATGCCTTTGTTTTGTGAGTAAATGGGAAATCCATAATTTGCCAAAGCAAGATCAGTAATAATACTTTATATTCCAGTTTTTAGGTATATCGAAGCTTAGTTTATATTAACTGTCATTCATTTTCAGTGTTTCTGTTATGCTTTCCTCTGAATTGGTGGTGAAACTCATCCTATACTTGACATTTCTGAACTCAAAGATGATGACCTGTAGAATTATGATAATTGACTGTAGCTGTGACAGCTAGTCAAACTAGTAGTCTGTAGTTCATCAAAAGAGGGAGCTAACTAATTTTTAAAGCTTCAACCTAAGTTTTTCTGTCAAGGTTAACTTTCTATAAGAGATTAAAGAAGTTTTAAAAATTATCTTAGGACTTTAATAGAATAATTTACTAGTAGTATTGAAACCCGTTGTGGTTTGTAAGCTAATACTTCACAAATATATTTTATATGAGCGTACTCATTTTTCTGGTGTTTTTTCTTTTCCTTTTTTTTTTTGCAATCTAAGAGCTTTCATGACAGAAGAATGTGGAAACATTATATTACTGTTCTTGCAGGTGTTGTCTTTTACTTTCATAAATAATTAAAGCTAGTACCAAATTGCTGTTTGCAGGTGAAGCAATCTTCAATCAAATCTCAGTTTGCATCTACATATAAAAATGAGTTCTGTGAAATAAATGGTCGGCATTTCCTCAACAGTAGCCAAATTCCAACCTGCACAAATCCTGCACCAAAGCAGCAATTAAAAGCTGGATACTTCACAGGTAAGCTGTAGCAGGACTGTATAAGTAAATATGATAGCTAATATTTTAAATGTTATCAAACAAAGCTTTAGTAAAGATTGAGCATAAATGTTTTCAAGAAAAATACTGTCATTACTCCATGTATGGTATGATCAGTTAAATGTCTTTGCATTAAAAATGTAATGCTAATGCTTTGAAAATATAAATCTGCTTGAAAAACATGTATTGCTATCTTGAGGTAAAAATTGATACATTTTACATACATTGTGTAATGTTTTGTCTTATTTTACAAAAGATAAGTGAAATTTACATTTTTGCCATTAAAAAAGTGAAAAATTACTCCACTATAAATCAAATCATATATATGATTTATTTCTGGAGCCTTTAAGCATCTTTTTCAGTATCTTAAAGTTATAAATCTGTTTTCCTAAGTTAGTTGCTGCTACACTTTTTTGAGTAGTGTAATTTTAAATTGGCAATGCACTCACGAATACATAACAAATGTAACTGCAATAAGCAATATAGTTTTGTTTTACTGATAATGTACTAGTTTTGATTAAAAAAAAAAAAAAGTGACAGCCCTCTAGAGAAGGGATGAATAATCCCAGGTAACTTTTTATTTCTTCACATATGTTTTTGATATTCTTACATGACAGAAGGTATGAATTCATGTCTTGATGTACCAGTGCTCGGAACTATTTCTGAAAGTGTTCACCAGACTAGAAGTTATACAGAAATGGGAAAGCTCAGTTGTCAGCCAAGAAACAAGAACTCCAAGAATGAACAGATGGATTTGAATAATGACAAAGTAATCTGTGATAAGGAAAGTGAACCATCTTTGCAAAGAAATGCTAAAAGATCTAAGACTTCAAACAGTCCTCAGAAGGAATTGGACAGCAAAATCGCTGGAAAAAGAAAACACAGCAAAACTGGAACCAAGAATAAACTGATTGCTGGTCAGGCAAAATTAACTCACTTTTTTCGACTGTAAGTTTTTGCTTTCGCATACATGGTGCATTGACTGGCTCACAAGACGTAAAATTTTGTGAAAATTTGGTGAAATTCATTAGTGCTTCCTTTCATACTCAAATAAGTGGAAGTAGCTTGTGTGCAAAATTAGGCAAACACTTACTGATCTAGATTTATGCAGAAGTTTTTTATTTTTTGATAACAATCCATCATTAGTAATTACAACCATGTTCTTTTTTGGTAATGAATTGTTTCCCACTACAATGTGATGGTAAAATATTTTTGGATGCATACATAGAGCCACACTGAAACATAGTAACTTCAAATTACATTAAATTGATAATAAAACGTTTGATCTTCAAGGGAGGTGCTGTAGATCAGTAGTTTTCAGACTTGCCAACAAGGTCGATAGACTCTTCCCAGCATACACCTGAGCACTATAGGGGAGAAAAAAATATAGCTGGCAGATTAACTCATGAAAGAACTAGAAATCTTTATGTCCTATGGAAGTACTAATTCAGTAAATTTAACAAAGTCCTTCCTTGTGTACCGAGTCAGAATAGACATGGAGTTTCTAAATGAACCTTTATCAAATTGCTATATAGACATTGCAATATACTTTACCAGAATAAAATAATTGTTGTGTAAAAATGGAAATATACTTACTGTCAAAATCTCTTCTTCCTATAGGGAATTTAGCTGAATTTTCTTCATCTGCAGTCTCTCTTTCGTGTATTGACTCAATATTTTGAATTTCAGTGTCAGCTGGAAAAGCCATGGTTCTCTTCAGTGCAAGATAAGGTAGCTGTTTTCTACCCAAGTTGATTGGCATAACATGATTTAAGAAATCATGTCTGGAACCTGTGTCCTGTTTTAAGGGAAAACAAGAGTAGCAGTTTATCTTTAAATCAGTTGCATCCACTTCTTATATTCCAGTTTTTATACTTAGCAGTGCAGGCATTTTATCTTTCAAGTTGATATTTTAAAAGTAATGACCTGCTGAAATGGTTTTATGGTAAAGATCATGATAAAATAATGAGTCTTATATTTGGTGAAGTTAAAAACTTGTTGCTGCACATAGGGTCATGCTGAATCACATAAGTATAGGCTTTTTTCTCCCCATATTTTGGCTACGTATAGTTCTTGTAAAAATCTAATTTTTTTCTATTCAACCACCCAAGTTACACATTTAAAAATCTTGGAATTAGATACTTACACTTAAAAGTTCATTCTTGATTACAGTATGCTAAACTGATATTTTTGTATATTCATCAGATCATTGCTTTAAATTATATTTGTTTTTTAAAGGGCTATAAAGAGAATTTCAATTTTATAATTAACCCAAAACATAAAACTGAAAACTCACCAAAAACTTCACCTTTTTGTCATCCTCTTCATCTAAAACACTTCTGGCTTCAGTCTTATAATGCTTCAGCAACGGTATAGTGCCTCTGCTCACAGTTCTATCTCCATTTCGAAGAGTTTTTCCTAGATTTAATGTGGTTAGCAACATATCTTCATCTTCTGCTTTTTGCAGAGGTTTTGATGCTGAGAGTCGAAAACCTTGAGAAAAAAGAGAAAGAGAGAGAATTAACATATATGATGAGATACACATTCTTAGTTACTTAACTCTTGAATAGAAGTTAAGCAGTTTCCAAATTTCAAGAAAGCTTTTCCAGTTGTAAATTTATGCTCTCCGTCTATGTCCACTTTATATATTTTACAGATTGAATGGCAACTACTTCAATGGATAATGACTTCAGTCTTTTAAAAAGACTCTTACTAAGGAATAACCTTTTCTATAATCCTTCTAATCCCATTTGTTGTTTAGAACTACTTAAACATTTCTTTAGCATGGATAATTTGTTTATTTGTATGTTGGAACAGCACAGATTAGGTCCTTTTGATGAATCAGTATAACAAAGTTCACAAAGTGATGTCCGTTTGTGTTCTTTATAAAGCCTTACCTCCAGTTAAGGCAATTTAAGAAAAGGAACTAATCTACATAAATCAGCATGGTTATTGTAAAGGTGTGATCTATCATAGTTTTTGATCAAAACTGATTCACCGAAGAGTTGAAAAGCTTAACATTTAACATCAGCTTAGACTGCTATTATGTTAGAGCTGAAATCATTAACTTGTATTATGATATCCATTACCTCAGGTTGCATTATTCAGAGCTTATGTCTTGAAATCCTTATTAATACCTAAGTAATTGTATTTGTCTGCATTTTCTTTCTGAAAATGGACCTTTCCCAGATACAAATATAATATAGTCAGGTAAGAAAGCTTGCTAAGAATGTAGAAAGAAAAGTGAACTTTGCCATTTAAGAAGTCTTTGAAGTCTACCTATTACCGTGAGGAAGGAAATGGAGTAGTTTCTGCATAATGTTTTTTGGTTGGGGGGTTTAGTGTTTGGTTGATAGTTGGTTGGTTTTGTTGTTTTTTTGTTTGTTTATTTTTTTTCACCTTATCTGGAAAGCAAATAGGCCCAGCTCAAATTTAGCTAATCTTTTTGTCTGTGGTACAAAACACCTATTTAGTTGCTGTGTGACTCTTAGCTGGTACCCGTCTCTTAAATTCCAGATAACAGGAAGAGTACAGGTTCCCCCTTGGTTTTCTTCCTCACACTTCATTTTACTTTTTATGCTTTTTGTCTATACTGTCATTCACTAGGACCAAGATTGAAATTTTTATTAGCAAAAGTGATTTTTTTACAGTAGCTCTTTTTTTTTTTTGGTACTGATTGTCTAATGTTTTCCACTAGTACATACCACTGATGTGGTGTGAAGGAGAAAGTAAGATTGATATTTAATAGTCTAATCAGGTTAATAACACATCAGTGGCAGTCACAGATAGCAAGTAGGCATTTTGATTTTACAGCTGTTACAAGAAGTCCAAGGAAGAAATGTGAGTGCTGCAGAAAGGTGTTGCATAGTCTTAGGGAAATAGGGAAAGAACAATGGCTTCTGTTGAAAACAGGCGATGATACAACACTAATACACAAAGTGAGGATGTTATGTAGAACAACTGACCGGTATTGTTGGAACAGTGGTATTTCTAATTGCTGATGACTGCTAAACTTCCTGGAAAAGCAGACTGCCTTGCCAAAGTAACCCTTCATGGGAAAATATGTCCTGGTGTATGAAGCAGATTTTGACTAATTTTGGGTATATCCACTTTTCCCCAGATGAGGAAAATGCATTTAATCCTTTCTGGGCAGACCATCTCTGACAAATAGAGCTATTGCTTCTCATTCCTTTCATTTCCTTGCTGTAGAGCCTGTACTTGCCTCTGGGCAATTGGAGTGGTTTCTTTTCTTTTACGTTAATTGCTTCACTACAAGGGAGACAAATCTAAAGTCAATTGTATATGGGTTTATACTTCTCATTCAACCTTCCTTTGTAATTTGTATTCTTCCCTCACATTTAGTATTTGTACAGTGTTGTTAATTAATGAAACAAAAACCAAATATTCTCTGTAATGGCACTTTTCATTTAGCTCAGTTGAGGCAAAAAAGGAGCACTTTGGAGCTACCTTTCTTTTTATATGTTTCCATTTGAATTAAGAGCTGGGAAGTAAGCTATCCACTCTGTAAGTGTGTTTGTGGCAATAGCATCTGCTTATCAAGCTATAGTAACTACAAGTATGCAGCATATATCGCATATGGCTTACTTCCAAATGCTTCTCTTTCATTTATTAGAAAGCACAGTTAAAATAAGAATCAACCCAGATCAATTAGAAAGTCCATCTAAAGTGTCTACTTAGTTGTCTACTGTGTCTGTAAGTTGATGTCTACAGAGGGTATAAGATCAGGGCAAACTTATAGTACTTCCCCCAGTATACTCTAGAGCTTCTTGAACTGGCTGTTAATTTTTAAGGATTGTTGAAGATCTGAGGTAGTTCTAGTAATAACTAGTAGAAACTCTTAACTAACTGCTAAGAAATGAATAGCATATGAATGCATAAAATATGAAGCAATAGATTCAGTGACTTTTCTGCCTGTTTAGAGCAGCAGATAACATTAATACACCTGCAGGTTTGTAATGCACTGTGTGTGTCTCTTCATAGTGCCTTTGTGAATCCTGGCGCTCTGATGTTGCATTCTTTCCATTTAGTTTTGAAACTTTCAGTGCAAAATTAAGATGTTTTAATATATCAGTTTCTGTTTTATCATGGTTTATCAAATTGGCTTTTTATAGTAAATAATAACGCTGCTTACAGAGCAGTAATAATTATTTTGAGAAATTCTTCTTCTACATTGTGTCTTGATACAATAAAATATAAATGCTTAACATCTGAAATCTGATGTGGTGTATATACATGAGTAAATAAAATCTAGGTGCTAATGTGCCTGGAACGTGTCTCATACTCTATTTGAATCCTTCTAGGAATGGGATACAAAACAATTGTAATAATTTTATTTGGTCTTGTAACTACTGCAGTTGCCATGTACAAGTGTTTGAGCCTAATGCCTGGTATTGACTGAACAATTAAACCCCCATATTTTATTATGTATCTTACATAAAACCAATTTTTGTTGTTTTTTTTTTACTATTAGCAGAATTGAAAGCTTTGCAGGGCAAGAAAGGATTTAAGCAACTTTAACAAATAATTGCAATGAATCTTAAAAGAGCACAAAAATACGTGGTCAATGTTAATATGCCCAGTAACATGTTACTTCTAATTTTAAAAGGTGGTGGGTTGTTTTTTGTTTGCTTGTTTTGGTTGTGTTTGTTTCTTTGTTTTATTGGATCTTGTAAATTACATACGATCAGCTATTTCAGTCTTTATTTCAGTTGGAAGATATTTGTCATTTGAACCAAGAACAACGTGTACTGAGACTTTGGAAGACTGATTTAAACCAAACCCAAGCTCTTTGCAATATGGTTGTTCCTTTGTGTGATCCTCTAGTAGCAGAGAATGAAATAGAGGCTGTCTTATACCTACACAATGTAAAAGCATGTCATTATGTGCATGAGACATGTATTTCCAGGGCACTTAAAACATTTGGGTAGTTTTGAGTAACAACATAACATTTTCTTATTTTAATAAATAACTGACTGTATTAGACTCTTTTTTTGTATTAGAGAAAAGAATTTTTTGGCATTGAGATCCCTTTTGGCAACAGTTAATAGTATACATTGTGCATTGTGTCTGAGACTTGTATGAATCTATTTTAATTTCTGAGGCATAGATATTTTTTTCCCTGATACTTTTTCTTGTGATCTTGGGCAGAGTAAAAAAAAACACAACAGAGTGATGGTATTGATTTGTGCGGGTTTTCTTTTTCTTTTTTTTTTTTTTTTTTTTTTTTAGCTCTGATACAAGTGGAAGTAAAAGAATTCCAGAAAGCATTTATTTGCAGAACAACTGCAGCTCCTTCTTAAGCCTTGCATAGGAAACCTATATTTTCTATACTGGCTTTAGGCTAGCCAGTTTTGCTCAAAACTAAAATGTAAACAATATCTAACAAGCACATTTGACAAGAAGCTGGCTATAGTCAGTCATTAGGAAGTGATGAGGGTATGAGTTGTATCTGAAATCCCACTCCCTTCTCGGGTATTAGCTGTATCATTTATCCATACATTTGCTCATTTTGGACTCAGAGCCTCAAACTTTCCTTGAATGTGGGCGCTTTCTTCCTGTGACCTTAGCACCTCATTATAGAGACTGTCTATCTGAAAAGCCTGATTGGGTTAGTTCCAAACTGTCCTCAATCCCACAGTCAGGTAGAGATTCACTATGCTGTTAATGGAACGAACTTCTGATCAACAGTTTACAGGACATAACAAAGGTAATTAGTGCACTTCCTTATTGACTGAAATGGAATTAAATGTAATTAAGATTCTTGCCTATCATTGATTTATTGTTCCTCCCTGCTGAATTGGTAGTCGCCTAGAATAAAGAAGTTGAAGTACTCACAATGCTGCTCGTAATAGGACAGCTCTGGAGTTGTTCAGGAGCACAACTTTGATTTTGAGAACTTAAAGTAATATTTTGTTTATGTGGGAGGAGAATGTACAAGTGGGGATTAATCCCTGCAAATAAGGTGATTTTCACTGAATTACTACGCAAGATCCAGAATAACCATTTCAGTCCTCTGTTGAAATGTAGTGTATGTATTTATAAAATAAAAAGTTGCATTTGTCTGTTGCAAATAAATTTCACAGTTGGAAAAACCTAAAAATATTTTCTGCAGTTTGTTATTTTGAAAGGAATTTCAGAATTTCATTTGGCAAAACTGCATAGAAATATATTTCTTATGGAATTCTACAGCAGAACACCTGCATGTATAGTTCCTTCTAACAAGAGATAATGATAGGCATCCATTCTTTCTTAGGATTCGTCCTGCTGAATAAAATGGTCTGTTCTTGTGGGAGTAACTTGCCAATACAATATGCTTTGAATTAATTGAACTGTTCTTTTCAGTGTCTGAAAGCAAAAAAACCCTGACTGTCCCTCCTCTTCCAATATCTAAGATTCTTATTCCAAGAGACCTTTTGCAAAACCATTTATGTGAACCTCTGTTAATGGATTTCTAATTAATCAGTAAAGTAGAAAGAGGAAGGAAGATTCCATAAGCAATATTAGCTTCTTAATTAAGAAAAAAGCAGTGGTGATGGTGAACATGTTGTATAAAACCTAGGCAAAAAATTAATAACAATTATAAATATTGACCTATTGCTTACAGCAGATTCAAATAAAACATAAAGATAAATCTGTAAGCACAGAAGCTTATTAGTATCATAACCCAAGGAGCTGCTTTGGACTCCAGAGTACAGATGAAATCCTTATGTCATTTTTTAAGATTTATTAACCTCAGCCTGCCTTTAGAAGGCTTTACTATGTCTCCAAAAGTGCTGGGTCAATGCTACTGGAGCCATTAGT